AGTGACACAATCACTCACATTCAGTCGCACACACAGTGATCCTCACTCACATTCAGTGACACAATCACATTCAGTAATATACAGGAACACAATCACTCACATTCAGTCACACACACAGTGATCCTCACTCACATTCAGTGACACAATCACATTCAGTCACACACAGTGACACAATCGCTCACATTCAGTCACACACAGTGATCCTCACTCACATTCAGTCGAACACACAGTGATCCTCACTCACATTCAGTCGCACACACAGTGATCCTCACTCACATTCAGTCGCACACACAGTGATCCTCACTCACATTCAGTGACACAATCACATTCAGTAATATACAGGAACACAATCGCTCACATTCAGTCACACACAGTGACACAATCGCTCACATTCAGTCACACACAGTGACACAATCGCTCACATTCAGTCACACACAGTGATCCTCACTCACATTCAGTCGTACACACAGTGATCCTCACTCACATTCAGTAATATACAGGAACACAATCACTCACATTCAGTCGCACACACAGTGATCCTCACTCACATTCAGTGACACAATCACATTCAGTAATATACAGGAACACAATCACTCAAATTCAGTCACACACACAGTGATCCTCACTCACATTCAGTGACACAATCACATTCAGTCACACACAGTGACACAATCGCTCACATTCAGTCACACACACAGTGATCCTCGCTCACATTCAGTCAAATCACCAGTGATCCTCACCACATTCAGCTTTCCATATCACCACAGTGATCCCCACCTCACATTCAGTCACACACACAGTGATCCCCACTCACATCCAGTGACACAATCACATTCAGTAACATACAGGAACACAATCACCACATTCCCAGCCATGTATACACAGCACACACAATCACATTCAGTCATACACAGTGACACAATCACTCACATTCAGTCGCACACACAGTGATCCTCACTCACATTCAGTGACACAATCACATTCAGTAATATACAGGAACACAATCACTCACATTCAGTCACACACACAGTGATCCTCACTCACATTCAGTGACACAATCACATTCAGTCACACACAGTGACACAATCGCTCACATTCAGTCACACACACAGTGATCCTCGCTCACATTCAGTGACACAATCACATTCAGTCATACACAGTGACACAATCACTCACATTCAGTCGCACACACAGTGATCCTCACTCACATTCAGTGACACAATCACATTCAGTAATATACAGGAACACAATCACTCACATTCAGTCACACACACAGTGATCCTCACTCACATTCAGTGACACAAATCACATTCAGTCACACACAGTGACACAATCGCTCACATTCAGTCACACACAGTGATCCTCACTCACATTCAGTCGAACACACAGTGATCCTCACTCACATTCAGTCGCACACACAGTGATCCTCACTCACATTCAGTCGCACACACAGTGATCCTCACTCACATTCAGTGACACAATCACATTCAGTAATATACAGGAACACAATCACTCACATTCAGTCATACACAGTGACACAATCACTCACATTCAGTCGCACACACAGTGATCCTCACTCACATTCAGTGACACAATCACATTCAGTAATATACAGGAACACAATCACTCACATTCAGTCATACACAGTGACACAATCACTCACATTCAGTCATACACAGTGACACAATCACTCACATTCAGTGACACAATCACATTCAGTAATATACAGGAACACAATCACTCACATTCAGTCATACACAGTGACACAATCGCTCACATGTAGTCATACAGTAAGAATATCGACAAAAAGCAAATCACCAGTGTGCTCAAATTGTACAGATAAATGGCACAGAGTACTGCAGACTGATCCAAGAACCTTGTGTCCGTGCTGTAATTCAGATTAAAGCAAATAAGAATCTGTGGATGCTCTAAGGCTATATAAAATATCAGCTTTTTTAAATTCTAAAACACCACAAAATCTATTTTTTGCAAAAAAGATATAAATGCAAACCACTCCACATTCACTCACACACCGAGTGACCAATCCCATTCAGTCACACACAGAGACCCTCACTTGCATTCAGTCACACACACAGGGACCCTTGCTTGCATTGACTCACACACAGACTGACCCTCACTCACATTCATTCAGTCACACACACACACACACACACTCACTCACGCACAGAGTGAACCTCACATTTAGTCAAACACACAGTGACACATTTACTCACTTTCTGGCACACACAGTGGCACATGCTCACACACTCATGAGATAATATAGCAGACTGCAGCCATAATTTTAGAGAGAGATTCCAAAAATTACACAAAGCCAGTACCATACTACTGAGCCCGTGGGAATACAGCGTCCATGGCAGGACATTGCTACCCTAAACTCTCAGGCTGTGCCATCTATAAAAAGGCATATTGTAAAATAGCAAGTCACAGAGATGGAGATCTAAAAAGCTGACCATTCTCGCTGTGCTTTGTTTATTCTGAATTGAATTCTGGAAGAGTTGGGAAAATCCAACCTTTTTGGGATGCAATGTATTTTGAAATCAGGCAGAAATAGAACATACAGTCGGTTTTACCCCTTGCTTGATTTGCATCTTGGAGATACAGAGATTTGGGTTGTGGGGATAAACATGGGGTAAGATCATCTAGTGACCATGCTTGGGGTAATGACAGTTCATTGTGCAAGGGCCTATCCCATGTTTAGTGTTTTATGATGTCATAGAGCACATTCTAGAATGGATCAGTCAGCTCTGCCAATACGAGCAGATCTCATGCTTCCTACAACAAGCTCAGAGATATCTGAACACACACCATCCAACATTGGAAATGGACAAAGAATGAGACTTGTGTCAGGGGACGAGGCCAAGGACTGGGGCTATGTGGAGAAATTACAATTTAATTTAGAGCAATGTATCTTATTTACACAGACTGATTTCTGAACACATTAATTACCAGATTTTACTAATTTTATGACGTAAAGTCATGATTTTATTAAGGACACGGAGGCGAGTATTATGCTATTCTCTTTCTTTTATTCCTCAGCAGCAAGAAAAATTTATTTTAGAGAAACAATCAAACATGTAAACATGCCCCAAAGGGCTAGTCCTACAACAATACAACCAATCAGCATGC